AAAAAACTGTCACTGGGGGGGAACCCTTTAATACTAATATGTACCACCCCAGTGACAGCTTCTGTACCCTTTTTTTTCTGAGAGAGTAGTGCACACTTCACCTTTAACGCAACATCACACACCCATTGCTGTTTTAGCACATAGGGACCCTACTCTTTCACCACTTCCTGTTTCAAACCCACATCTGTCTCCAGCTTCCTTTCTGAAAAATTCAGAAAATGCTTAATGTTCAAGGAATGGAAACTATCTTTATCCGTCCAAGCAATTGTCGGTAAAGCGTAATTATTTTGCCGTTGAGTCAGATGTGTTAACCTTGAAAATGAGGATTGATTCCACACCCATTTCTCTCTCATTCACCCTTACAGGTAGAAAATGATCAAGGATCTCAATGGTTGCTTATAATTCTACATTTATTAAATTTGATAAAATAACATCACAGTATGTGTTCTAAGCACCAGGCCCTATGCTAGACTCATATGCTTGTTTTAGTCTACTTTTGTTGCTTTTTTATGAAAATCATGTGATTATGATCTGACCAACACTAGTTTACCGCAAAATATTTTCACGAGATATCACTGTCAAACATCTCTTTATTTGAGTTATTGGAACACTGTTACCAAATAACTTTTTACCAAAATTTAAATGACAAATTTGAATTTGTTTTTTTTGGCAACAGGAGAAAATGATGTTTTGCCACTCTGTCTCTGCATTAATATAATATAAATGAATATCACAATTATTTATGTTTGTTTTGAAGGTTTCTTAGATGTTTGATGTTGTCTTGTAAAAGAGGACATGAAAGATTGAGGAAATCTGCCCCTTCCTCTTTTGAAATTGTGCAACAACATTGCAGATTTCACAATAATGGAAGACGAGAGGTGATTTTGGAACTGTTTATAATTTTTAACGTCTTTCAACAAATAATTTAATATTCAAAGAACACAATTAAAGATAAATAAACAAGGATTACTTAATAAAGTGTATGATGCGTACCAGTGTGTGGTTTGAGGAAAGGATGGGCCATATGAGAAGTTATAAAGATATTAAAAGGTTTTGCAGACACAAACCAAGATAGAAATTACACCAACAATTCTCTAAAAGGAAAAAAAAAAAGCATCAGCTACTGCATCAAGTTCCTGGGAAGCAATTTGAGAGAAGGGCAAAAACACGTAAAAATAAGAAAAATACACGGAACTACATAAATGGAAAGGAGAAATTGGCAACCTCATTTGTGTTCACAGGCATATTAAATCATGCAGCTGAAGCAACATGCCCAGACGGTGACAAAAGAAATCACTATAAATATAATAACTGCTCTCTAGCAGACGGGCTGCAAAGAATCACAGGCAATTAGCCCCTGCGAGGAGCAGAAATGCTGGGCGGCAGTCACACAGAAGAGAAAGCCTTTATGTGAGCCGCTGATAAGCAGAGAATGGAGCAGAACTTTAATACTGTGGGTTTGCTTGTGTTTGGTGTGCGCTCTGAGATTGGCAGAACTCTATGCCTCTGAGCTTGATTGCATTGGTTTGACCCAATAGTATGTTGCAATAAGTAACAGAAATAAACTGGACAGCAGCTGAATCAGTACATTATAATGAAAACAAAACCTTAAAAAGGAAAAGAAGCATGTTTTTGCGATCAGATTTTTTAAAACTGGTAAACTCCTGTAAACTTTTCAGTCGAAGGATCCAGTAAACGAATGCCTTCAAACAGTAGCCTAAGTTCAAAACAGCTACAGAGAAAACCCGACCGGTTTCATTAGAGATTGCTTAGAGTCACGTCCAGAATTATTCTTTTCAGCGTGTATTTGGCTTAAAGGGGTCATATGATGTTGCTAAAAAGAACATTATTTTGTGTATAGTGTAATGAAATGTGTTTATGCGGTTTAAGGTTAAAAAGGTATGGGGGGAGTAGGCAGGGGGTTACTATTTGCCTGTCACTGTATGCCATGGGAGAAACCGTCAGTCAAACATAGGAGTAGAGCTGCACAATTCTGGATAAATTGATCACGATTTGTATTTATTTATTTATTTATTTTGCATCAAATAGAGATCATGATTCTCCTACAGATAACTAAACAAAATAGCTTGTCTACTAGAGGTTCTGACAAAATGGTAATTGTTGCAGTCTATGTAATTCTTTACATTTTAATTATTTATTGCAAAATCTGCACCTCTTTTGTGGCTAATATTAATTTCATAATGATCCTTACTCCAGTAAGTCAAGTAGCAGAAGTTACGGAAAGTAAAAATGTGCAAATACTATTGGCCCATTTTGAGGTGAACTAAATATGCAAGATTAGTCTTGAGTCTTACATGTCACTGTTTATAACACAAGCCATTCATCCTTTGCTGGGCCGCTTAAAAAAAATGGGGGCATAAATTAAGAATATACCCACTATATGCACTCCAGGCACCACTACACCACTGCCTGTTACCATATTATTATGATAACATTAACACAGGGCCTAATGTGAGAAGTGCAGTCACTGAGTTTATTTGAAGACAAGTTTGTCTGGCAATTATACAATTCTTCAAATGAATTACGTGACAAGCTTACTAATTCAAGGAATAGTTCAACCAAAAATGAAACTGCTGAAAATGTAATCATCTTCAGGCCATCAGAGATGTATAGATGTATGAGTTTGTTTCTTCATCAGAACAGATTAGGAGAAATATAGCATTAAATTACTTCACAAATGGATCCTCTGCAGTGAATGGGTGCCGTCAGAATGAGAGTCCAAACAGCTGATAAAAACATCACAATAATCCACAAGACTCCAGTCCATCAATTAACGTCATGTGAAATGAAAAGCTGCATGTTTGTAAGAAACAAATCCATCATTAGGACATTTTTAACTTCAAACCATTGCTTCTGGTCCTTTATCCATAATATTGCTTTCTCCAATGAAAAAAAAATCTGAATCAGGAGAGAAATATGCATAGATCAAGCATTGTTTACAATAGAAAACATACTATTCAAATATGTCGGTGGATTTTGATGTGAGCAGACGACAGGAAGTTTTCACTGAAGGAAGTGCTATTATGGATTATGGACTATTTTGTCCAGAAGCGACAGATCAGCTGTTTGGACTCTCATTCTGACGGTACCCATTCACTGCAGAGGATCCATTGGTGAGCAAGTGATGGTATTCTAAATTCCTCAAAATCCGTTCAGATAAACAAACACATCTACATCTTGGATGGCCTGAGGGTAAGTACAGTTTTTGCAAATTTTAGTTTTTAAGAACTATTCCTTTAATCAATTTAATATCATATGAATGATTATATGGGATGAGCTCAAACATATCATATGAGCCATCAAATGAAGATTGTGGCCAATGAGTAAAACACTGAGTAGACATTACAAAAAGTAACTGTCAGTATATAGTACAGTTTGTTTTATTTCCTTATCATTGCACATATGTCCATCAGTTGCAACTTGCACAGCAATCCATTGTCAGTCTGTCTGAGGTGGATTTATGGTGTCTTCTCATAGAACGTGTTCAGACTATCGGTGTTATTTTATTTTAAATTAGTCTATATATATATTTTTTGGCGTTTGGTCTCGTTCTGTATTGCGTATCTTGCCAGTGTCTGCGTTTGCTTGGCCATTTGTTGTTGAAAAAAATAAGGAAAGTGTGTTCAAGCGCCAGAATAATATATATATACATTTTTTCTTTATCTCACAATCATGAGCGCCATGGTTTTAAGGTGGTTTGTCAAATTAAAAAGAGTTCAACTTTAAAACAAAAAAAAAGTGTAGTGAGATCACTGCATTCTGTGATTAATGAATCCACACTGTTAGACATTTCAAAGGGTTTTTACAGTAACTTACTGGCAACACTGTTGCCAGTAAGTTACTGTAATTAAGATTTACAGTAGCACACTGTATTTGGTTTACAGTTGCAAACTACTTTGAGATTTTGCAAACTACAGTAAATTACTGTAAAAAATCTAATTCATCAGTATACTACTGTAATTAATTCATTTTAATATATTTCATTACATTTTATAATTTTTATATAGAATTCATTTTATTTTTACCCTATTCATTTCTCCTGTCTTAGGACATTTTGCAGTGCATTATGTTGTATCATCCGGATTTATCCTAACAAAGAATCTTTAGGCAACAGAAACACAATGGGGTAAAAAGATAAGCAGCCAAATAATACATAGCCATCTGCAAAACCCAGGTGCTGCTCCAAAACGTGGCCACCACCTTTGCTCACCATCCACTTTGTTAGTGACAGAAATGTCTTCTCTGAAAAACAAGTAGAAATGGCTACATATATTTTTTACCTTGCTTACTGGTCTTATTCTCTCGTAAGGTGCATCGACACACAGTGCAGATGTTCTCCGGAACTCTTCCACTCTCGCGGGTTCATCCCCGGGTAAAACCCGCGGCGCTGCCCCGCTGGATCCGTGTCTTCCTCGGACGCGAGTGGCACGGTGCGGCGCGACTCGACAAAAGACAATATAGAACCCATTATACTATCAGTGGAAGCGGACAGTAAAGTGATGCCCCGGTATATTTCTGATGTACAGATATACTCCAAGCGCTCGTGCTGTTTCTGACACGAAGGACAAATGGATTTTCCAATCATTAAATATATAATATAATATAATATATACAGTAAAAAAAACAGTAGTATACAGCAATTTTAAAAAATACAGTAAGTCACTGTATGTGGGGTTTGACGTCACAGAAAATTCCCATGATGCAAAGGGTATTACAGTTACTTACTGTAAAGCAAATTTGCAGTATTATACTGGGTGATAAACAGTAAATAACTGTAGAAATTACAGAAATGTCTAACAGTGCATGCTTCTTTTTTTTCACAAATAATTGTATTCAATAGACTCAAATTGTTAAAGTTTCATCGTAAGTAAGAGTAAAAAGTGGGAGCAGAAACGGACACAAGTGTAGATGGTTTCACAAGAGTTTCCTGCTTCAGTTTGTACTTGTGGTTCAGGATGGTAAGAACGATATGCCACGGAAGGACTGACAGCAGTGACTCTTTAGTCAGAGCGGTGAGATCTTTCTCGGAACAGCAGCTGGATCATTTCAAATACTTTTTTTTTTTCATAGAAAAGTTCAACTGTGTGCTAGACCTCGCTGGGCAGTAACTACACAGGAGTTTAAATGTGACCCCCAGAAAACCTACAGATGCAGAACACTTTAAAGTATGTATTGTATTCAGGTTTGTTTCCTCTTTAAATTGAATAACTGGTAACATTTTACAATAACTTTTTTTAATAAGTAATTTATAAACATTATATACTGCTTTAAACACTTCATGTACATTCATATATATGTATGTGTGTGTGTGTATATATCTATATATATATATACATATATATATATATATATGTTCTACTAATGTTCTATACAATGTTTATTATGTTATTGTTGAAAGTTATTATAACACGTTACTGTATAATTTATCTCTCTATTTATTTATTTATTAAGTTTTATTTTATTATTATTTATTTATTTATTTTATTATTATTATACTTTAATTTATTCCAGCTTTATTTTAATTACAGAAAATGATTTTAGTTATCAGTTGTACATCAGTTTTATACTTGTATCAGTTTTATAATCAGAGTGCATACAGTTATACTGTAGGGAATGAAGTTGTTCACATACTACAACAAAAGGTCTGACACCCCATATTGTGGACGATATGGAAATGGGGAGATATTTTAGATCTGTTTTCTGCGCTGTAAAGACCTGAATGGGATGATAAGATCTGCCAGGTTCTTGGTTGAAGACTGAAATGCATATTTATCTGCTTTTTCAGAATCATTTAGTTGAATAGTTTAATTCCAGCTGAATAGTTCAATTATTCCGGTTGAACAGCTTGTCACAGCAGGTGAACATCGGGCCACTTGGGTTATCATTGCCATACTACCATACTCTTGTGGACCTCAGGGTGTCATTGGAGAATCAGTCAGATTCACATGCACACCGCAACTTGATTGGTCAAGGTTGGTCAGCTGATTCGCCAAACCATCCAATGTAGGTGAAACAACCACCACATGATCCAAACAGGGATTAACACCATTGGATGGTGCCAGTCATTTCCTATTGGTGTGGAGTAGACAGCGACGGGAGTTAAAAGGGTTAAGATCCAGTTGAGCGCGATCTGTTGCGGGTTTGGCACATCGTTTGGCAGGCCACCTGGTCCCCTGTGCTAAACGGGCCAAAGACAGAGGCAATCTGTCTCATCTATGAGCCACCATGCTCAGATGTCCACTGTGTTTATAAAATATGCATAAGTACCTATTTCTATGCAAGAAAAAACATATAAATGGAATCCAGAGTAAACAGGTTCTGGGTGCATTGAAAGAATCATTGAGCCCTAGGGGAAAAAATGCACCTGATTCCAAACAATCTCCATCTGTCATGTCTCACTCTTTCACCTCATCTTTCCTTTCTTTTCCCACTTATTCAAATGCGGCCCTCTGTGTAATAATTCATATATGCAAGTAACATATGCAGTTTGTTTTTTTAAACATAACAAAACATTATTTATTTATTTATTTTATTATTATTATTTATTTATTTTTTGCTAAAAATGGTCTTATAAAGGAATTTTCTTTTTAGTTTTGTTCCCACTTTCTTTTTTCAGAGTTTTTGAAAGTTATTATAACACGTTACTATATAATTTCTCTCTCTCTATCGCTCTCTCTCTGTTTATTTATTTATTCATTCATTCATTCATTGATTTAAATGCAAGTTTTATTGTATTATTATTATTATTTTAATATTTTTTTTTCTTTTTTTTTTTTCTTTTTCTTTTATTTATATATTTATTTAGCTAAAAATGGTCTTCTAAATGAATTTACTTTTTAGTTTTGTCTCCCACTTACTTTTTTTTCAGAGTTATAGATTGTATATTGGCTGTTCAAAAACGGAAGTTTTTGTCATTTAAAGACTTGCAATTTCTCTGAAATGGTAACAAGATTTCACTTTTATTTTCAGTCATCATAACAATGGCATCAATCTGGCTTGTGCTGTGGATATATATTAATGCCATGATAAAAGGTGAAACAGCATTTTTACTAACGACATTACATGATTATGCAACAATCTTTGTTGCTTTTCTATTACTTGTATCTATCTATCTATCTATCTATATGCAGCAAATACTGTTTAGACAAACCTATGTTAATGTTTTTTTTCTGATGTCATGCAAGTACTACCCACACATTTTGAAATGGGTTTGTTGGAGGATGTTGTCAGGAATTGTCACGCAATGCTAAGTCACAAGACTTGTGTAATGGATTGGTGTGTTGCTAGCTAGTTTATTATTAGAGCCCAATTTCTTTCCCTAAATTCACCTATGAGTATGATTTAAAACACTGATTCTTGATGTTAAAATCATACACATTTATTATCCGCAGTGATCCAAGCATCATCATGTGCTAAGATTCACACTCCTGCCTCTATGGTGCTCGCTGGCTCACCTGTATCAGTGTCCTGCTCCATCGAGGATGACTGCCCGCTGACTAAAGGCAAAGACTTTCGTGTGGCATGGAAGATTGACAACCATTTTGTCCCCAGCAATCTCTCTTACCAGGAGAGTAACAGGACGTATGGTGTAATCATCCCTAGTCTACCAGACACAGGCGCATTCATTGCTTGTGCTGTGTGTGAAGAGGAGAACTGCCAAATTGTCAATGGAGTTATAGTTAAAGTGGGAAGTGAGGATCTTTTTAATGTTTTTGATTCAGTACTAACTATGTTACTAACTACTAAATTACTAACTACAGTCATAGAGCTTAATCAGGGTCCATATTTAATATGTGAATGAAAACAAGGCTTTGGTGCTGATCGTTCAACCAGCAAACATATCTTTAACAGATTGTATTTCCATCATTCATATCCTTGTTTTCATTTACACCAAATGAAATATGGTGCCAGGCTGCCAGCTCTGAATACGGTCAATTTCACATTCACGTGTTATCTACAAAATATGACATTTTCAAAAAAGGTAATAATGTAGACTATTCACTGTTGTCATTCCAAGCCAAAGTTAACCTGACTTCTAATTGTCCTTTCTTTAAAGATCCTCCATCTGTTCCTAAAAACCTGAGATGCTCTTTGAATCTAACGTTCCCGAGAAGATTCCTTTGTCAGTGGGATCCTGGTCAGGAAATGTCAAATCTTCCTACAAACCATACTCTTCACATATTTAGGTACTAATTTCTGCTGACATTTTCAGAACTGCAGCTTGTTTGTGGATAAATCTCTCAAAAATGTAGTTTCATTTCATTCATTACATAATTTTTTGCATAGAGAAAACAAAGTTCATTTAAGGATTATTAGTAGTTTTTGCTTTGACAATTTCATGACAATTATATACATTTCTCTTGACAAATATGCCTCACCATAGTGTGATTTGTGACATGCTTGATAAATGTACCATTTCTCCAGGGCGATGTCAGAAAATGTTCGATATGTGATCCCACCTGGAGTGCATTTCTACTCGATTCCACCGGAATCTTATAGTTTCTTTTCAGAGATGGAGATTAATGTGACAGCAGTGAATGTCTTTGGGAACGCCACCTCTGAAACTTTGAAGCTGATCCCTCTGGAAACAGGTAAAAAGAGCATTGAGCTTTATTCATCTATCAAGAATTAAGAACTAATGTGAATTTAGTGGCTTTATACCAGGGCTGTGCTCCAGTCAAAATTCAATTTCGAAATCGTTTTAATCAGTTTATTCAACTGCTGAAAGTGTATATATGAATTATTATATAGGATTAAATAAATTTGGAAAGAAACATACTTTGGGTTTTGAATAAATTTATAAAATGGTACTATTCCAAATGCATGAAGCATGCTATCATAAACATAAAATATGGGGCATGCATTTCCAGAAACATTTAATTCTTTTTTTATTGAATTTATATATTTCATTATATTTAAAAAAAGTTTTCATTCTGTGTGCCATAATGAATGAATAGTTAATTTGTTGTATTTCAAATTTCAAAATGTTTATTTAAGGGGAGACACTGCAGGCATGCACCTGTCAATTTTGAGATTTTGGGCTTTTTGGCTTTTCATAACGTGTTTTTTCAGACTAGTGGAAAAAAAAAAACATCCAAAAGACACTGTTAAGTGTTTTGTTTATAGCACTTTATCTATTTGTGTCAATAGATTTCAATTACAATACATATTTTTAACCCTCATCCGTCCCTCGGGTCATTTTGACCCCAAAACTCATTTTTAAAGATTTTTTAAAAATCGAGCGTCGATCGTTATGTTATGAGACTTTGTTACTTTTGTCACACTTGAACCGGGAATACATGAACCATTTTTTTGAGTGGATTCGAGCAGTTTAAGTGGGTGCTATAAAAAAAGTATCAAAAGTGTCCCTCGCGGGTCATTTTGACCCGCCACTGGAAAAGCATGGAATTTACAAAAAAACTGCAAATTTCTTTTATTTAATTTTGTCACACTTGGGCATGGAGCACACACACAAAAATTTGAGTCGATTTGAGGATTAAAAAAAGTAACAAAAGTGTCCTCACGGGTCATTTTGACCCGGCTATAGGAATGAATGGAATGTCCGAAAAAAAGAATTTTTTTTTATTTATTATTATTCTTTTTTTTACTATATAAAATCTGACACAATCCAGAAAAGATGCATACCCAAACAATGGACTGAGACTGCAGAATGTCTCCACACACACATGGCACACACACTCCCATTGAAACACATTATAGCATTTATGATGTTTCTGCTGGGAAATGACTGTCATTTAGATTTTTTTTTTTTACTTAACACAGTTAAATTTGAGTGATAGGGTGGAGACCAATGAGTTTATATAATATTTATATTTTTTTATTTATCTTTTATATTTATTACATATTTATGAAACTGTATGAATATGCATGTGTTTGGGTTCAAATTCAGTATCAATTTATTTTTCTTTTCTTTTTTTTTTTTACAAAATATAGTTTTTTTATGTTTTGATATATATCTGAAAGCCTTGAGATATATCTGAAAGCTTAACGAAGCCTCAAGTTGGTGTAGTTTTAAAGATTTCACTTATTTGGCTCATTTAAAGGGGTAATATGATGCTGCTAAAAAGAACATTATTTTGTGTATTTGGTGTAATGAAATGTGTTTATGTGGTTTAAGGTTCAAAAAACACATTATTTTCCACATACTGTACATTATTGTTTCTCCTCTATGCCCCGCCTTTCTGAAACGCGTCGATTTTTACAAAACTCATCGGTCTGAAAAAGCGAGGTGAGCTGTGATTGGCCAGCTAT